TGCAGGTGCCCAGATAAAATAAAATATATCATCAATTATTATGAAAACTAATGTACAATACACATTTACTACGGCAGATGTCTCACTTAGAGAAGTGACATTGCTCTGCCGATCAATATAGAAATGAATATATTCTTGTATCCTTCGTTCAACGTAGGTATTTAGCTGAGATGAGATATGTAATGGTTCAGTTTTCAAGAGTTCAGAAGAAATTGTTGTCACTGTTAGAAACATAATTCAGAAACAGACAGTGTTTCGTCTATCCATATCAAAAAGTGTCTTCACCTACGTACGTTCTTCAACCGAGTTACTTTACATATTTAAAGCAGACAATCAGCCATTGTCAAAACAAACATAGAAGAAGTCATTTTCAAGGTTCCACAAGTAATTAGCAAAGTTATTCTAGTTAGTTGTCGATATAAAAAAGAATTATTCTATCTTTCTACTTTAATGTGAGCATATTGAATATTCAAGAAATACAATCGCTGATTCTAAAAACGAATGAAAAAGAGACTATTATCATGGCTGAATTAGGGATGTAACGATGACTATTCATTGTTCATTAGTAGTACGGGAATATCGATGAACAGTGGGCCGATGGCACACCATCACCGATGCAGCTCTAATTCAGTCATGACAACATAGGGTGGATTTGGATCTATTTGTTGCCTTCAGTCATATCCAACATCATTTTTATCAATTGATAATTCACAATACATATGTGAAACATGACTGAGCACACAATCAAATAATCTGCCATCGTTACAAAATGCAGTAACATACGAAATTAATAAATAGTTGGACAAACATCTTAGTTCATTAATATTTGAAACTGGTGTGAATTCAAGAATGAATTATATTTATTTCGAGAAAATGGAGCATCGTCAATTGGTGGCTTAATATGTCGTAAATGACTGCTTATTGATGTATAAGTTTTTTTCTGAAACTCAACTTAATCAACGCCCAACAACCGTCGGCTAATTCTCTAAATGAAGCTGATGTAGTTACACTAATCTTTCTATCCTATTCACTTACAGCTTCATCAAATAGATAATCAACAGATGGTTTATGTAAATAACTATTAGTAAATGCAATATATAAACTAATATAATCGGATTGTGATCAATCAGATGAACAATAACTACAACGACAAACATCATCAAATAAAAATCATTGTATATTGAGAGCAAATATGAATCTAAATTACCAGTGTATTAGATTCAAGCAAAGATTTGTTTTATAGCTGAAAATTACAACATATATTACAAGATGACAAACGAAAACCAACATCATTTGCTCGTTATAATTTTTATGTGAATTGCCATCATTATAATTCTCTATCAAATAAATTAGAAAAAGAAGATACTGATTTAGTTATCATTTCATTATTGATATTTACTTGATTGTGAACATGAACCAATTGATAAAATAAAACGGCATCGAATTAAAAAAACGAAAGCAATGAAACAGTCAACATCTATGAACTGTGTATTTCTATTTTCCTCAAGTCTAATCTGAAATTCATTAAATATTACTTCATCTTGCTTATATTACTTACATTTTTGTTCGTCTTCATTCAGATATATAATACTCAGATATGATAGATGCCTTGTTATCTGTTATTGTTGATGAAAACTGTTTTTTTTCTTTGTTACATTTGAATCTATATTTGATATAGTTTTAGATAAAACGTTTCTTGTGTTGATTTATCTCGTTTGAACACTCGTTATTCTTTCGTTTTGATATTACTCATTTATATTCAATATCTATGTTCGTCAGAAGTGAACTGAATTCAGCACGAATCAAGCTCAAATCCACAGTACCTGATTCAACATTTTTCGCTGTAATATCAAAAGAATTCTCAGAAGACGTCTTTTCTGATCGAATTGATTTCAGTGAAATTCAAGCATGACTTGACCTTTTTTCTTTTGCTTACAATATTTATGATTTGCTCAAAATCGAATAACATTAATTTTATGTGTTAATGTTTCCACTAACTGAAATTAACATAAGTTGAGTCGAAACGGCCAGAAAATATTTGAGAAAACATCCCCATCCTGGTACGGATCGAATAAATAGGCTGAGTTTTTTATCAATGATAAAAACATACTTACACTTCGTATCCATAAAGACAAGGTTAAAGAGAACCTTGTTATATGTACTACTATTGGCTTCAACCAAAAAGTACTATGTCGCAGATAGGAAAAATCAAGGCATCATGAAGAACAGTCACTTTATCAAAATAGAATATAAATAGTTAAATGATTTTTTGATTAAAACATGTCGTTCATTCGTACCTCTTTCCTCTTCTTCGTTTTCTCTTTTCGCTCCAACTTAATATATATTGATAGCTCCTACGATATAAATGTTTTTTTTTCTTGCATACTGTTAGTTATACTCGTCTACGACCTCTGGCCAGGTTTGTTTTATGAAACCTTTCGTTCTTTCTCATGAATCTTGTTCTCTAGTAACGCATAAGATTGAAACAAGGGTTACAGAATAAACGTAAGAATATAACTAACAGTATAAAACAACAACATTTGTATTTTATGAAGTATTAATATGTACTGCGATGGAGTGAAAGAAGCAAAATAAGAAGAGACAAGACATATGAATGAAGGACACGTTGTAATCAAAAGATCATTTAATTATTTACATTATATCTTGTTAAAGCGGTGTTCTTCATCATGCATTATTTTTTCTTCTCTGCGAAATAGTAAACATTTTTGTTGAAGCCAATCGTGGAACTTATAAACAGGCTCTAGCTAACCTTGTCTGTATGGATACGAAGTGTGAGTATATTTTTATTAGTAATAAAGAACTCTGCTCATTTGCTAGAGTTATAACAGACATATTCAATTATTTCTCGTTAACGTGACTTTTCGGTCACCATTTATGTCTATGATATGATAGTCATATATCAGAAAAGATATGCTATTTATCTAATATGGTTCATCTGTCACCCTCTTACAACTACTTATCTTCATAATAACTGTGTAGTTTACAAGAAGCGCTCAACAACTGTAATGCTCTTTCTTTGACAACGTACTACGACTAATTTAATGGATGCCTATTTATAAAAGTGAAATTTTCTGTAAATCTTATATGTGTCAAAAGATTTCATCAAAGTTGGGTTGCATTGGATGAGTTCCTTACACATTTGTATTTAAATGAATATTGAATGGTTCTAAATAGTAGTCCATAGCATTGTATAACTTCTCAAGACGGTCTTGAGATCGCCAAGATTAGAAGGTTTTTGCTAAAGTTAACCGGTTTTTTTGTGGTATTGATAGGCAAAAAACATTATAAAACACTTGAGATTTGGTAGAAAAAAAACAAAAACCTTTCTACATTGAAAAGAAAGTTACCTCTATGAGTTCTACGATTCTAACTGACTCTCACGTCTATAACAAGCATAATTTTTTGTACAATAGAGAATTTATAGATCAGAATCATTGAATTTAAATGTATGATAATAATCTAATATATTGTCCTACATTTAAGGTTCATAACTAGGTCAAAAATTCATTACTTTCGCAAAGATTTGATCAATATTTATGGAGTCAATATTGACGACTATTATAGATTCTCTGGTGTAGGATGATTTTCTAGATGTAACAGTTTATTTATACTTTGAATTTTATATGATTAAATGCAGCTTGAAAAATTGTACAAGATTAGATCAAAAAGTGTTTTGGTGATCTGAAAATTGAAGTTACAAACGCATCAAAACTAGAAAAAGACAGTCTTTTTACATCTATACTTTATTATTAAGAGTTTGACATTGACAATCATATAACTACACACATCAATGACAAATATAATTTATAATACATCTTAATTTTTAGAATATCTAAAGTCACAGCAACAGTGAAACTTATATGCATCTGATTATTTTGATCGTTTCCGAGAAAATTTCAAAATACAACACAATAAAATTTCTATGAATAAGACATAATGAATCAGCGGCTTCAAAAAATCTGTACCGACTAAATCTTTCGAACAATGTTGTAATATCAAAATAAACTTGAATTAGCCGGTAAAAATGAATCTTCTTTCCATCTACGACATGGAAAATTAAAACAAAAAAATTTACTCTTGATCAATGTCCAGAAAATAGTTTGGTTTATCTCTAAACTGCAATACAAATTAAATGAAAGATTATCTTATGTACGTGACATCAATAATATAATTTATTAGAATAAGAAATGAAATATTTGTCTAATTTGATCAATAAATAAATTGAAATTATTTTAATAGAAATAATCTTTTCCTTATACACACAAATTTATCTAATTCAAATATTGATTTTATATTTCTAAACAGATTATTTATTAAATATCTCGTTTTATTCTCTTTTTTATTGTAAATTTCCTTAAAATAACAGAGATATTTTCTTTTTCTTTTAGCAACTTATTAACAGACCTAACTGGTCAAGGAAGTTAAATTCCGTTCTAATACCCTTGCAGACTTATATGTTCTTTTCGATGGTAAGCAATTCTTCCACATAAATCAATATCCGTTACTTTTAAATGAACTTCGGAGACAGTGAATATTAGACAAGAAATGAGTTCACTTAATATCATTCGATTCAAATAATGTTGTCTCTTTTTTTCTATTTTTCCAACCATGATGAAGTTATACAAATAAAAAAAAATCTCATCAAGTTCTTTCTTCGTGTTTTTTAGAGCAAAAATATTATGAATAAGCCAAAAAAATTCATATTGTTTTTTGTTTAACTTTTATTTACGCTTAATCTTCTTCTTGCTTCTCTATTGGTAAACACCTTTTTTTTTTCTTTTTTCTTGTAATCAACGGAAAACAGGAAAAAAGAAAATGTAAATGAGTAATGCAAGAAAATAAAAGAAGCAAAAACAGACTTTGAGCAACAACACGTTGACATAACAACATTTCTATTTTTCATATTCTCTCATGCGTTTTTTTCTTTTCTGTTTACTTCATCTCAGTAATGGTGGTATTTTTTAACTGTGCATCGTGTGATGACTAGACTACATAAATTATGTGCCATTTTTTTATTCAAAATTATTTTGATACATCTTGCAAACCAGCAAACATATAATTGTTTATCAGCGAGTTCATGTGGATGTTCAGCTAATTCAGCTATTTTAACAAAAATTGTTGGAGGAGAATCAGCTTCCAGTCAAACATGGGGATGGGCTGCATCTCTTCGTTATGCATCTAGTGATTCACATTTTTGTGGTGGTTCAATCATAACTAATTCACATATTCTAACTGCTGCTCATTGTACTGTAAATTTACAATCACCTGCTTCGATTCTTGTTTATGTCGGATCAATATATTTATCTGTAAAAATTCAAGTACGTGGTGTTTCAAAAATATATGTTCATCCAAATTATTCGCACGTTACTTATGTCAATGATATTTCCATACTTAAATTATCATCTACATTAAATCTTGATCAAATTGGTGTTGATCTTGTTTGTTTACCTAACGTGTCATCAAGTATACTTGCTACTACAGAATATCCAGCAATTGATACCAATGTAATGTTCACAGATATTAATCAAATTTATTTATTTATAAGCTGTTATTGACTTTTTATTTGTAGCTTATTGCCATCGGTTGGGGTTATATATCTGAACGATTTGCTGTAGTGTCTAACACACTTCAACAAGTAACAATTAAAGTAATAGCTGCAACTAGTGGCTATTGTAAAAATGTAAACATTGATGATTCATCTAAACAGTTTTGTGCTGGAATAATGCCTACTGGTGGTAAAGGTAAATTTTTATAAATTTCATATATATGTGATATGATAATTTATTTTCTTTTAGACACATGTCAAGGTGACAGTGGAGGGCCATTATTAATGTTTACTTCCAATAATGTTTGGGAACAAGTTGGAATAACTTCAAGTGGCATTGGATGTGCAAGAGCTAATTATCCTGGTATTTATACACGAGTCGCAGCTTATCAATCATGGATAAATATAACAGTTAATAAGGCAAATAATGTATCGTTTGTTACTTATATGATTTTCATTCAAATGATTGCATTAATTTTATTTTATTGCTAATCAAAATTAATTGGAAATTGTCTTCCAATTTTTAATAAACATTTATTTCATGTATTATAATTTAATCGCCTGTTTTCTACATATATTTTTGTATACATGAATAATTTTGTGGAACTCACGTATATTTTCGAAGAAAATAGTGAGTGTAAGTTTCAAGTTCAAGGTTTCGCGACTCCCACCTCCCCTTCCATTACAGACACCTAGCAACGTAGGCTCCCATTACAGACACCCCGCATTACAGGCCTTATCAATCAATATAAAAGATGTTAGATTTTCTAGTTTTTTTTTTGGAAAATTGATCAAGTTATTATTTTAAAAAATAATCAATATCATTATTT